AGTTTCCTGGCTCCTCCTTCTTGCCCTTTTTGAAGACTGGCGTGACATTGGCTTTCTTCCAGTCCTCAGGCACCTCTCCTGATCTCCAGGACCTTTCCAAGATGATGGAGAGTGGCCTAGCGATAACATCCGCCAGCTCCCTCAGCACTCGTGGGTGCATCCCATCAGGGCCCATGGATTTATGGATGTCCAGTTTGGACAAAAGATCTCTAACCTGATCCTCCTCCACCAAGGGAGAGTCTTCCTTTCTCCAGACTTCCTCCCTGGTCTCCAGTGTCTGGAATTCCTCAGGACTGGCCTTAGCAGGAAAGACTGAAGCAAAGAAGGCATTCAGCAACTCTGCCTTCTCTGTATCCTTCGTCACCAGGGCACCCACCCCATTCAGCAGTGGGCCCATGTTTTCCCTAGTCTTCCTTTTGTTATTGATGTATTTGAAAAACCCCTTCTTGTTGTCCTTGACGTCCCTTGCCAGATTTAATTCCAGCTGGGCCTTAGCCTTCCTTGTCGCATCCCTGCACACTCTGACAACGTCCCTGTATTCCTCCCAAGTGGCCTGTCCCCTTTTCCACATTCTGTACACTTCCTTCTTCTGCTGGAGTTTTACCAAGCCATCAAGTAGGAATATTGTGGTAGACCAACAAGAACACAATTATAGGAATATGTAAAGGAAAGGTTTAGGGGAAAAAAAAAAAACTGTTTCAGTTTCACAGAATCACAGAATGGTTGAGGTTGGAAGGGACCTCTGGAGATCATCTAGTCCAACCTCCCTGCTCAAGCAGGGTCATCTAGAGCATGTTTCCCAGGATCACGTCCAGACGGGTTTTGAATATCTCCAGCGAAGGAGACTCCACCACCTCTCCGGACAACCTGTGCCAGGGCTCAGTCACCCTCACAGGAAAGAAATTTTTCCTCCTGTTCAGATGGAACTGCCTGTGTTTCCAGACTAGCTATTCTTGTTCTCTAAATCTGTTCTGATTTGCTCTTCCACAAATGTCTGTAGACATATTTGTAAACATAATCAAGGTAGCATTTACATTTTTTTTTTCAAATTTTACTGTTTTCAGTTAAATTTTATATCTTAGCACTTTTGTAAATATAATTAAGTTTATTGAATTATCACAAGACTGAATGCAGATAATCCTAATTGCAGCCAAAAAAAAACCTCAAACAAAAAATAAAGTGTAGTTTTATTGCTTCAAAAGAAACAATTGCAGCTAAGATGATCAAGAAATAGAATTCCAGAGTAACCAAAGGGTTAAAAGTATGGCTTACACTTGGGAATTCCATGGAACTTGTTCCTCCTTCCCAAATAGTGCTGCCAAAAATCATCCAACAGGAAACATAAGATTAAGTTTGTCCTACCTAAGTGAACAAAGCGTGCTCAGAACAGGCAACCAGTTTACTGCAGAGCAGGAACTTTTCTAATCCTGCTGGAGTCTGCAGTGCTGCTCAGAGAATATCACTGAAGAAGTTGTTTTCTCTACATTAACATCTCTGGATCATCTCATTTTGGTCACACTGCAGTTTTTGCTGCTTCTCCCATAAAGGTTAACTTAAAGCTCCAAATGTAATCATGTGGAAAATGGACATTATTGATTCCTATGGTCCATTGTTCCCCCATTCTACGTCCCTGAAGTTCAAGTTCAGTTTGGAATTACATCATGTCTGGTTTCTCTTGGTTACTAGATGGCTTGAGACGTGACCACAGCTACAGAAAAAACAAACAGCCTTCTTCATGCTTCAGCTCCCCTATCGCTTCAAACATAAACTTTTTTTCTTTCTCTGAAGTATGCTTCAAGTATGGAGCATAGTTAATTTAGAGATTAAGCTCCAAATTAGATTATCTAATGGCATCTTAATGGATTGCTGACCCATTTCCTGTGGGATGGCAGCATGCAAGTCTGGCTTGAATACAATTAATTTCTTAGGAAGTGGTCTGAGATGTTTGCCCTGATGGAAAGGAAACAATGTTATTGTTTGTCTGTATATCTATCTTTATTACCGAGTTGGGTGCAAATATCAGAAATAGTAATTTAAATTGATAAAGACCAGAAATCATTAGTTTTGCCTGCTATGAATGCAATTATCAACCGGATACTTTGGCCTTTTTGTTCTTAAATTGCAATGCTTGAATTGATACTTTTTTCTAAAAACACTGCAGAATTTGAGGGGAGAAAACCATTGCTCTAACAGGTGTGTGTCTATTGCTCAAATGTGTAACATTTTAAAAAGCAATGCTGGTGAAAGTGTTACTTTAATAGTATGTTTGCTAGATTCTAAACAAAAATTAAAAAAAAGTAATTCTTAGCAATTTTCAGTTCCCTTCCTACTCTTTTCACAAACTGTAGATTATCCAATTTGACTGCCTTATCAGTGCTATTATCATAACCCCAGAGTGGTGCTGGTGAAAGAAGTGCTGCTTCAATAGTAGAACATGTGAACACCCCTGCAGCTAAAGCTGAGAAGGAAATTCATCACTCTAAGAATAAAGGTCCCCTCAGGAGCTCCAGGAACAAACCAGCTGTTGTACTGTCCTTGTGTCAAGATAACAGACTAAAAATAGGAAACGCTAACCTAGTGCATTTGCCTGGGTAGTGTAAAGGTAACATTAAAGCAGCAGTTAACCCTTAAAAACACCATGGTAAGATTGTTTTAAAAAAACATATAAATAACAATAGTTGAGAATAAAAAGATACTTAACAGCTGTGTTAAAATGTACATTGTAGCACTGAATATTTGTTTATAGTTTGTGAAAGACTCATAAATACTCAAAGTATAAAAGAGTCCAATCCTGCAACCCCATATCAATTGTCACATTGGAATTAATATACATGGAGTAACAAATGGCTTCAGAATCAGGCCCGGAGCTCATGTGTATCAAAAATCCTTCCCCCCCCTTCCTCTCACTCATGACTCAAGTTTACTTGTTGCATACAATCTTCTTTGCTGTGCTGTGTCTGAGACTGTATTTTCCTATTTGAGCCTAAATAATTTGCACAGCTTTTTTTTTTTCTTTCTGTCTCGAGGAAAACAAAGTTATTGTCACGGAATTGCCAATATGAATGAAGGGGTTTTTTCCATCTTAATCTGCACAGCAAAAATTGACCTCTACAGTCTTAAAGCACTTTGCATGGGAGTTTAATTTTAAAGATGTATTTAACTATTGTTTGCAACAGAAATAAAAAAATAGATCATAAACATGGTAAATAGACAACTAAAAATTTAGTTCTAGACAGTCATGGTACAAGAAGCAAAATAATATTAATTTCAAATATCTTACAAAAGCCTGTTTTTTTCTCATTCTTTGGGATGCTCAGAGGATGTTTTACATAAATATCTCCTTTAAAGACATAAGTATGTTTACTTAAACCACATAAGCTAGTCATCTAAATTTGTATCACTGTTATCCATTACAACTTTTCTATTATTGAACAAAATGATATACCAATGATTTAAGATCTGTATTTTGCATTATTCATATTCTCTCTCTCTGCAAATGTCAATTCTTTTGCATATATATTATTGTTCTCTTGTATCTGCAACCATAAATGACAACAGACAAACAGTTTTTCTTTTTGGGGGGGGGGGATATTTATCTTAAAATCATTTCCCATCAGGCATGACAGGCAGCTACTAAGACAAAGGACACAAAAATAACAAGTACACAGATTTTATCATCTTGCACCCTCACCAGATCCTCAAGGTGTAGGTCACTGACAGTGCACCACAAGGAAGCTTTCAGTTTGGTCTGTTCAATTACCTGACTTCTGTATAGACAGGACAGCTCGTATTCAGGCATTGCCAATTCTTTGACCTTCCTGAGGTCAAAAAAAAAAAAAACTGCAAAATCAATCTACCACCTAAAATAGCCACAAAACCCTGCTGTAAAAGGTCAGTCTGGTTACTCTCAAATGAGTACTACAGATTTGAGGGAACATGCTTATCAAACAATTTTCTGGGAAAAAAAAATTTGCTATTTAACCTTTTGAACTAGGATATATTATTTTACCAATGAGCAATAATTCCTTTTTGGAATCCAGTCTTCTTTTTAGTGTTATAAAGACTTATGGCCCATCAGTTTGAATACATATCATTTCTGTTTTTATGTCCTCACCTTCCCAGATGTTTGAAGAATGATATATTCCAAAGCCTATATTTAAAAACAAAACAAAAAAACAAAAAACTTCTACTTAAGGAGAACTACAGGTATGTTTGTCCTTCAAGGATGTGCTCAACTCTCTCCATACAGCCCATATAGATGCAAGCATGGCCAAGGCATGGTCAAAGGATGCCCATGGGAGCACAGGTGCCCAAGCATATCCAGCAGCAGCTTAGTTTGCTGGTAGGTGGCACAGTGTACCAGCTGGCACACCTGGCCGGCACTCTGGGGGCTACCTGTAAGGCAGTTTTCCATACAAAAGGTGAGAGGATCATGGAATGTGTCTGTATCCACCATCAAAGGCTCCTTGATCATAATCTAGAAGTATTTTTTTTTCCTTCCTTCCTTTTTGTAATTTATACCCAAAGATCATACATGATAGGTACTGAAAAACAGAATTTAGTAAACACTGTGCCAGTGTTTCAACTGATGTAAACTGGCATTACTTAAAGAGATCAAGAATGGTAAGACACCATCCAAGGATTTTTCTAGATAGGTAAATAGTTTGGATTCACTCTTGATAATACACAAATAATAATTGAACACTGTGCCAATTACTGCATGATGAGGATTTATAATGTGAATCACAGCCCTTGAGAAGTTGAGGTGACTCCTTTAGCTGATTTTCCATTGTACCAATTTATCTATGATGGAGGAAACAACTATACCTTGCGCTTCCACCAGAATTTCAGGATTCTTTCAAATTTCCAATATTGTTAGAGGAAAAAGTACAGAAAACACATGCAATTGAACAAGGAAGTCACTGCCAATAGGTTAGTAAAACAATAATATTTATGATATTTAAACTTTGAATTTGTACACAAATAATTATAATTACCATTCTCATAATTACCATTCCAAGTTGATACTGACCCCCCCCCAAACTTGTTAGCAATAAGGAATGCAATGCAGTATGTCATATGGCTTTCTGCATAGCAAGATTTTATATATACACAGTCACACTCACATACATATACAAATTATTTAAAAAGTGATTACACTGTTATATGTGTCTAGAAATGTCCATGGAGTATTTTAAAATTATTTTGAGGAAGTGAAAAGTTACTGCTTCATTTGACAGGGCCCCAATCTGCAGGCTTTACATCACATGTATAAACCCCTTAAGTGAGATATGTTAAGAATAATCCTGCACATGAAGGAGCTGAAATATTAACATATCTCATGATAACGCTTATTTATTTATACACCTACTTTATTTATATACCTACTTATATATGCACACACCTACTGCTACCATAACCAATTATACATTAACAGAGGTAATAATGTGTAATCAATGATTGTACCACTAATTAAGGTTTTTCTTGCACACTAAAATGAATTATTTTGTGGATATCAAACCTAATTATTATTTTGTATTTCCTTTAGAAAGGAGCTGGTTTAATCTTACCTTCATGTACATGTTAGTGACCTAAATCTATACCAGTCAATGCCAAAAATGTTTCTATGAGTAGTATGATTATTCATTGCCCAAAACACCACCACATCAAAGTCTATTATTTTACTTGTCTATATCCTTAATCACTTTTTTTATATTAACCACTAGATAACAAACTAGATGACCTTTAATTCTGCAAATTGTTTCCATTTTTTTTAAAGCCTAAAATCTGCATTCCTTTAAAATTACAAACACTTTGCATTTGACAGCAAACACTGGCATTTCAGATGCTTAACTAAGGTATTTTCTAAAGTTTAATTATGTTAAATATAATCTAAATGTGTATTCAATAAATGTTACATGGATATATTTTGTTCAATGTTGACATATATTCTCCTGGAGGCCTGCTAAAACAGATACTGTAGCTCAATGTAACTTTTTTAGATGTGGTGTAGGGGTGGAAATAATTAAAATGTTACCTTTGCCAAGTAATTCCCAATGTATCCTCACGGGCACTGGGGTATAAATGCCTGCCGTTTTGATTCATGGTCCAGTCACAAATCCTCAGCTGTCAATTGAAACCTAGCAGTCAGATATGGATCTACAGGTTTTAGTATTTAAATTAATACATGCAAACTAGTACTGTACATGGCAAAAGCCTTACTTTCCCAAGAAGCAACTTTAAAAAAAGAGCTTATTCTGAAAAAATAAACTCCTATAGATTTAAGATAATGCTACTTTAATATGTTCCTCTATTAATAAAGCATAAAAGAGTAACTAGTGTTTAGTACATAACAATTAGCCATTATTAGAATACAAACTGAGCTGGAATAAAATAAAATGTTAATATTCAATAGTGAAATATTTTAAGAAAGTAAGTCAAAATGCTGTTTTCTTTATGTAGTGGTCTAAATAATGTGTATTAAGTGAAAGTCAACTATAACCAATATCTTGAAGCATGTATTTGATGAAACATAGAAAACATGCATCTTAGAAAAATTGCCCAAATTACACAAACTATATGCCTTCATCTTGCTGTTTAAGAAGGATAAAGGTATTTTCCATTGACATTTATTAATTTAGCGTTACTGAAAGTGGTATTACTTAGCGGGAGGTGATAAAATAATCTAATCTTGTTCTAGACTCAGAATAATAGCATTTAAAATACTTTATTACATTTAAATATAATGAGGAATGCACTAAATAAAAGCTGAAACAAATTCTTCCCAGATCCTCAAATCATCAGTTCTGCCTTCACAGATTTGTTCATGTAACTCTATATAGCTGTGTTTAACAGCTGTTCTACAGTGCTAGCAGATTTATTGAAAAGATAAACTGCTTATTTTTGTTTAATAAATTAAATTTCTCTGTATTGTGAATAAAACATACAAAAAGCATACATTTTAAATCTGTCATGCAATATATAAATTACTGTATATCGTGCATGATACAGCACTCAACTGAAGATTTGTTGCTGAGTTTAATTGCATTAAATGTATTCTGGTTTTCTCTATGCACATTCACAGTCTTCAGAGAGTGCAGGCTACAACAAGCAAACTAAAATAAATTATTTTCACAAGAGCACAATTAATTACAGTATTTTCTTGACATATACATATGTTAAGGACAAAACAATACTGCAAACTTGACCCTGTCTAGCTGTTACACGCATAAGCTTCCTGCTGTTAAGATCTGAGAAATGGAAATGTTAGTCTCTGATGTTTTCATATGGTTTGTTTCTTCTTTGTTATCTAAAGAACTCAGAGACCTTCTAAAGGCCATTAAAAGCATGACTGAACTACATGAAATTAACCAGAAAAGGAAACATTCAGTCAAAAAGTTTGCTAGAGGTAACTGTGAAAAATACATTAAAGATGCTAAAACAAAGCAGTATGTATATGCATTTTGGTGTAGTCATTATACAAAGCCATGTCATAAGTAAGATTTTAATTTTGATGACCTGCTAAAATGTATCTGCTCTGTTACTCAAATAGCGTAGAGTAGCTGTATGTTGACTATAATCCTTAAGAATGTCATCATTTCCATTACAGAAGCATATTTTAAGGACTTAAAACTTAAGTTATAAAAACTCACTTTCAGCTGAAATATAAGCCCTAAAAAATAAAATACATAAAAAATACTTTTTTCTTTTGCAAAATTTAAAACCTACATATAAAAATTCTTTGGCCAATTATGAGAAATGCAAAAATCCCAAACTTACTGAATGATTTTTTTTTTGCTCATCTAACTCAAAAATCTGGCAAGCACTTAGTTTGTATTAGAATCTGATTATATTTGGTATTTGAGAAAAACAATAAGTGGCTAATATGTTACATCTTAATAAATCAGCTATTGTACTAAATAGTAATTTTCCTCTCACAATATTTATGAAGATTTTCTGTACATACAATTAATAGCCTAAATCTATAATTAAAAAATTCCAAAAAGAGCTTTTCCAATGTTTCATAAATGTTAATAATGGCATACTTCATATTACATACACTCATACACACCCACACACATACATGTGGATATATATATATACTGTAATTATAACATCTTGCATATATGCTGTACACACATACTCACATGTACATGCAGATTCATACTAGATCAGATCTATAGTTAGTGTAAATTGTAGTGCTATTCATTGCACCAATTATGTCATATTTGTTTTAGCAATAGCTGCATGAAAAACTGGTGTTCTGGATGATAAAGGGTTCTGTAACAAGCTTTGGGACTGCATTGGCTGTATCTAAACCCACCTTCCTAACATTAAATTCTAATATTCCACATTCCTTGGCAGTTTCAAATAGCTGCCATTTTGTTTTTAAAACTAAACCTGCCAGGAAAATGTTTTTTCTTCCTCATGTAAAATGTCTTCCTCCAAATCACTCCCACTTAGAGATCAGGATGCCTAAGATAGAGGACTGGGATATTAAAATACTTAGAAATATCACATTCAAAGTCTGCATCCCTCAAATTCATTGAGCACTTTCTGCTGGGTAAAAAGGCTGGAATAGCTTAAAAGAGCTTTAAAAGCCCTAGTTTCATTTACAGGAAGATTCCTCTAATGTCAGCTTGAGAGCAACAGCAGGAACGTTGCCCTTGGGGGACCTTTAGACAGTTCAGTAGGGCAAGACTGGAAGCAGGGACTTGACACTTATTTCTAGCTTTGGAAGTATGTAGGGCACTTGAGTAAAATATTTGAGTTCTATATATTATTTGGGGTCATTCTGAAGGCTTTCTGGCCAGTTACAGCCCTCAGGGTAACTTAAGGGACCTCTAAAATGATGCCACTGTGTTAACTAGAGATCAGAAAGAACATTCACTCTCACCCACATTAAGCCACCTAAAAGAGCTCCTATGCAGAAAATGAGAAAAGGAAGAAGCAGGAAACTACCTGCAGGGTGCTTGAGAAATCCTAAGTTCTTTGATAGAGGGACTTAATAGTCCTAGTCAGACATTTTATAAATGTTCTAAAACATTGCTAACTTTCTCCAAAATCTGTTTTGAATGCAAAATACATGACATAATTTGTCCTGTGACGTGGTAAAAAATCTTTCCCAAAAGTCTGTTGGGATGACGTGCAGTTCAGTCATCTAGCTTTGTCATTTTGAGCAAGACATGCTATAGAAATGCCCCTTCAGTAACATCTTAAATCCACAAAAAAAATATTGAGTATTTTATATTTCTCTCTCACATAACTACACATTAAAAAAAAAAAAAGAGCATGGAGATTGTAGCCTGAGGAGAAAAAGAAATCTTCTCAATAGGCTAAGAAGTTCTGCAGTTGACCAAATCAGGGTAGTGAAACCTCATGTGCAGAGCAACCGTTTTCAGACTTGTACCTGCATCTTTCTCTTACTCCTTACCACAACAATCACAAAGCAGGAAAGAGCACAAAGCCTGTAGTAAAGGCTACCTGCTCTGAAAATACTCCTCTAGTGAGCCAATGCAACCACTCATCCACCTCAGCAGAGTAATGCAAAGGGGATATAGGCCAACTTAGTAAAAGAGCAGCAGACTGGGTGCTGCTCCTAACTCCCACTGGCCTACAAGTCATTCACCTCCCTATATCTGTTTTTCCAACTGTAAAATGGCAATAAAAATGATCTCGCTTTGCAAAATGTTATGCGGCTTACCAATGTGAAGTTCCATAGAAGAGCTAGATATCACTATTGTTACCTTTTCAGTTTACATTGGGCACCTTCCAAGCAGAACTGTTCTGCAGAGTTTTAACTATACAACTCCCATGTACATTAGAATTCCATAGCCACCAGTTCATCCTTTAATCATGTTCTGAATAATTTTAGGGGTTATTATTTAAGTAGGTTTTGTATTTTCAGATGTTAAGAGTGGCCAACTACGATTAATCTTCGTTTCAAGGTTCTCTGATCATTAGTAAAGGTAACTAAATATTTTGAAAAATGTGTGCGTAATAGGAGCCTGAAATTTCCTTTAAATGTGTTTCCTTTCCAGCAAGCATATGTGAAAGGTGACCTCTTATCCATTTACATACCTCCCTGGTAGTCATGTGACCAAGTTTTACATCAAACTGTTTATTATGATAAGAGACACAATAAGAACAGTCTACGTGTTGATAACCTTTTTCCTGGCTTTACTGAGAAGTTCTTTTAAAGAATCCACTTGTGTTCTTTCAGCCTTTTGCTGAAATCAAAAGCAATGTCCGCCCAAAACATTTTAAAAATAGAAACTGCTTTCAGTGGACATTTAACTTTACAATTTCAATGATGAATAGTATTAAGGGAATTCCATTTTGAATTGCATGATTCAGTAACTAAAGGATGCATCTGGAAACAACTTCCTACTGAAGTGGCAGGACAGTCCTGTGTATAGGATATAATTAAATAAAAAGTTGTTTACAATTTTCTCATTTTGAAATTACATTTTAGAGACCTGAAGCATTTCTTATTGCTGCATATATGGTAAAATGGCTCATTAATAAACATCAAAGCTGTGTGAAAATCATGCATGCTGTACATGATACCCAGAAAGTCCAAGCTCTAGTGAAACCCATGCATTTGTGTTAAGCAAGGACTGGAAGAGTTCACCAGCTCCTCAGTAACTGGGCCAGCATTGGTTAGCGCTTTTTTACTATGACATAAAGTTTTAATGGCCATTGGCTTCACAGGCCTCAAACATGTATCCCATTTACTTATGTTTTCCTAATCAAAGATAAAAACACCTACCCCAAGCTAAAAGGTGCATATAAAATTAAATAATATCATGGCCAAGAATGAGTACTCTAGTTATATATTTAGTTCATTTTGATGGGAAGCTTATTAATTGTGAAAAGATTAATCTTTACTTCCAATAAATACACACACACACACACACACAAATATATATATATAAAATTTATTTTCTTTACTTCAAACAGGTAAAGTTTAGGGCTTGTTTTTCTGGCAACATTCTAGCTTTATATCCAGATATAATGTCAATCAATTTCTAAATACTCCTGTGATTTCAAGGATATAATGAGTTCACAAAATAGAGAATATAAATACAGTGAGGCTAAGGAAATGTCATCAGACAACTATGAGAACTCTGGTCTATTGACCATTGATAGGTTTTTTGTGAGTGAGTGAATTATTTTACAAATGTTCCTCCATTAAAATTTTACAGCCACAAGAATGGAGACACAAATGAAAATCTGGCAGAGACTGAGTTCACCTGTAGAAGACTGAATTTGACTGAGTTACTTTATTGTTGCTTTTTCTTTTAATTCATACTTAGAAACCATGAATCTTCAGTGCCTGCACATATAAGCAGTGAGTGAATGAGTGAAAAGGCCAGAGAAGGGTGCTGCCATCCCACTATGAAGATTATCCAACCTTTTTTTTATGCATAACTCAGTAAAGATGTTTCTTAGCACAGTTGCTGAGCACAGAACACTAGATTTCATTTCATAAAATCACCACATCAACTTCCAATAGCAAAATTAAGAAAAAAAGTCCTGACACAAATACTAACTCCTATCATTTTAAGATCAATCTCCTCTCCCTCCCCAAGTCCATTACTAATACTTAACAACTCTTGGAAGTTGACATTGACTCAAGAAAACAAACCAAGTAGTCATTAACAATGTATAATAGATATTTTAGGGGAGCTGGCATTAAATGACTTTTCTCCCACAAAATTTTAAGATGCAGGTGACTCTCTAGATGCCACTTGAGCAAGAGATTTGCTTTGCTACTCCTGGTGTTACAGTACAAAAATACCTGTCATTTCAAGGCAGCTAACAACTAGACCCATCAGCAATCACAACAGAAAATCAACTGCATAGACTTAATTCCTCATTATAACCCTGCCTTTTTTATCGGTATAGCATGCTAAGTAACACATGTAAAGACATATTTTTCACAGTATTCAGATCAGTAAATGCAAATGTGCTGCTCCCATAGGTGCTATTATATGCTATCTTTCAAACTTGTATTTAATAGTATTTGTTGCTATAATGTATATAGGCTACATTTTGGCTCTTTTTAACAACAACAACAACAAATCCAAAAACCACTCAATGATACATGTTGATGTTTCTCATAACTTAGGAGAATAAATCTTTATAAAGCCCCCTCCAATGACGGAAAAAATGTACCTGTGAGTATTTATTCTTAAGGGGCCAATGTATATTACAGCATATGATGAATATTTAAAAGACTTCTCTGGAATGAAAACCATTGGCATTCTAATTTAGAATTTCTCTAACCTAATATAACATGATTGATTGCCCTTATTTCATGTAACCCTTGATTTTCCTTTTGATTCATCATGGGCTGCTTTAAACTAAATGCATTTAGAACCTGCCAAAAGAAAAGTAGTCTCTTAAATTATTGTAACATAATGAAAGGACATAGTAAATCAATATCATTTCTGCCTTACCAAAGGATAACCTTCTACTCTATTGAAGTCATTTAGACAATTTCTGTTTTTCTCCCCCTTTCTGGATAATAAGCATATAAGGCATTGTCATCTCCGATCCTTTTAGGATTTAAGAGGATAAAGGTAAAAACTAATTCATTAGCAACTTATTTTATTTACACTGCACTTATATATTCATATATATCCTTTCTGAGAAAGTTTTGTTGTTAAAGTACTCTGTTCCTTCAGTATCTTCAACAGAACAACCTATTCCCTAATTATATATATGTATGTGTAAGCATTCACATGCACACACCAAACACACTTATGCAAGCATACAAACATACCCCTTACATAATTTAGAACAGAATACAGAATTCACAGCAAAGATGGAACTATGACACATTTTTTCTTTTTTCTTTTTTTTCTTTCTTTTCTATCACCAATTGGTGTATTTAACTGATATAACGATACTATGGAACAATTTAACTTAAAAGGGAGAACACCTGATTCACATAGTGGCACTGAATAAGAAGACATGCTCCATTTGTGAAGTCTATGTAAGATCTATTTTGTTTTCCCCTGAACCATCTGGCCACCTGTTTTATCATGGGAATACATGACATGGTGCTTGGAACACCAAGGAACTTGATCCTTGAGAACCCTCCCACTCATGGTCTTATGACATTGTTGAAATTCGCCAAATTTATTTCAGACTGTATAAAAACAAAAATATGTAGAAGTTGCATTAAATAAGCATTGTTTTTTTAATGTCAAGTATGTATTTTTTATGAATTTTATGTGGTAAACTCAGCCAGGAGGAAAATTCAGTGGGCTGCCAGTACCTTCTAGGAACGTAAGATGGTGTCTATAATTCTTTGAAAGAACTTGGAAGGAGGAGGAGGAAGTTAAACTATAGCAAATTTACAGAAAAATAATGTCTATTTGCATGTAGTGATAAAACAAAATTTTATATTTTATATATTTTTTCTGTGAATCCCCAAACTAACTGGATGTCAGAAACTTGTCATGGTATAATATGTAAAACTTCATAACAATTTTTTTCCAGAAAATATCTGCATCAGGTTTAAAAAGAGTTTTAAGCCTATAAAACCTGTGTACATTTTAAAATGCAATGAACTCATACTGCACATCTGTCAAAAAGAACCATATTATAATAATTATAACACATTTCATATTATAACAATCTTAGGTGAAAATGAAAATTACCAGAAAATTTACTGAAAAAACAATGGTTGACAAAATCCACTAATTTTTATTTAATATTTTCATAACTGACAGATGTTTCCAGTTAGGTCTCACTGGTTTAAAAAAATGGCAACATAACAGCTATCTTGAATAAATGATCATCTTTATGATTTTCTCTTAACTCTGCATGTGGCGACCTTTAAAACAGACATACTGCCACCTTGCCTTTGGAGTGGATAGGGATAGGGAATTCCAGATGTAGCATAGTTTAGCTATAACACAACAACCAGAACAGATAGGTTTTACTGAAAATAAAACAGGCATGTGTACCAACTGTTGACAGGAACCCAAGCCCAAGGAAAAAATACAGTACAATAAATAATGAGGACTATTTAACAGCCCTTTTCTTTTTGCCATATTCAATTTTTTCCTTGTAACATTTTACATGCTGTTGATTTCAAATGCCTCTGCTGTTAAGATCTAGGATCAACATATACACACATCATAAAATATGTTTAAGTTTTAAAAGGCCTGAATTTATTTATATTACGCTCTTACTAGTAATGTAAGGTTTCTGTATTGCATGACTTGCTATTGACTGCATCTAATTTGTTAATAAGTCATGATTAATCTCATCTGCATATTTTCATAGTTTGGGTAAACACTTCATTTCCATTAAATTTACAACATTAATGAGATGTGAATTTTAAAATGCTACTTGAAACATAAATGTTGTAAGAAACTAGAACAAAAATGTGTTCTGAAATCCGCAAACCAATTTAAACCTATTAAACCAGGAATGTGTTGCACTGATAATTTGATTTATAATTAATCTTCTGGAATTAAAATGCAGAAATGTAGGCTTAAACATCTGGAAATTACAAAATAGCTTGAGAATAATAATTTGGACTGCTAATTTTGCTTATTTTTTATCATGTTGATGTTTCTTAAAGGGTTTGGTTTTGCTTTTAGTAAATCTAGTCTTCAGATGACAAATACTGAAATCCTTAGGATCCCATTCTAATCCAAGATAACAGTGGCAGCATACAGAAAGGTAATATTGCAAAAGCTTGTCAATATCATTGCACCTATGTGAAATTTGCCCACCTGTTGCTGGTGTAGGAAGGATGGGTCTCTGGGGCTCAGTCCCACATATCGATTGGCTTGGGATGTGCCTGAAGCTGTATAGGCTGATTAAGGAAGAACAAAGCAGATGATTGATTGGTTAAAAAACCACCTATCATAACTATTACCTTGTACAGGTACAGTACAAATATGAGAGATCCAGAATTATGATTTGCAATATATAGGATATATCTGTGTTTTTCTTTTATTTAAACTGTTATATAATGCAAAAGAAAAATTGGACCAAATTCAGCCACTAGGAAAGCATGTGCAATTCCTATGAACGTCAATGGAAGCTGCATGTATAAATCGGAAATCAGAATGATGACTGCTGTTAAATAATAGTTCCTCTGATTACTAAATTTTACTTTTTAAAAAAGTAATTAGAGGAACAACTGTATTTGAAAGCATTGTGAGCCTGATTCTCATTTCCATTACAGCAGCATAAGTCTCCAATGAAATCAGTGATATTATGCTGATGTGAGAAAAGAAGAATAACCTATTAGTTTACATTCATTCTCGCTGTTTTGAATGCCCATCACAAAATCATTAGGGAAAAATGAAAATGGGAATCAAAAGCTCAGCTTACTAATGTGGCATGAAATTAATCTTTACAGTTCTTTAGAAGGATGCAATCTGATTAACAATTACATGAGAAGGGAGTTATTTTTTATTGTGCAACATAACATTATATATTCAGTTCCTTTATATATTAGGAAGTAAAATTCACTTAATAATAAAATTAATTTAATAAAATCTCTCCCTTCAGTGGTACAGAAGCTCAGGATATGGAACCTTTCACCTATAGGTCACATTCATCTCTGGCTTAGGTCAGTAATCACTGAAAGTCATTATCCTCTCATAGCTTTTGGTGGCATTTATGAAATGAGGTAGGTGGTCTTACTCCACTTCCCAGTGTGAAGATATCCACACTGTAATATGCATCATCACATCCTGGCACGTTTGCTGGCAGACAAAGCAGAACTATTAAAACTGAATGGACATAAACACAGAGGCCGGTGAGAAACTAGATGAGAGTATTTACTAAATTGGCCCATCAGTATTACAATCATATAACAAATGCAAGTGAACGAAATTATTCATGTTTTGAGGTCTTTTAAATATGACTTTTTTACAGTAATCGAGTTTTACTGAAAAACTGCCATAAAAATGGATCAGATATTAGAAGGAAATCATGCTTTAGGGTTGCCAAAATATTATCAAAGCCTGCTGTTCTTTATCATTTAAAAAAATTCTGCCATTGTACTTCAGAATGGAAAGCAGTATTAATCATTTGCCATTTTATTCTCATTATTCTGAATAGTTGTCACAACTTGTTGGCCAAACATTGAATTTTTTTTTTTACAATTAATCAATTATTGGAAATAAATTTAAAATTATGCTTTAAAAAGCTATTCAAGTCGAATTCTCCTGTTACATTCACATATAAGCACTCTGTGAAGCATGTATGAGTGGTCAGAGCTTTTCATATGTACATATATTTATATACAATATTATATATCAATAGGATATGGTCCATCATGTTTTGTTATTTTCTTTTTCCAGTTACCAATCCATTTTCAAAAGCCTCTATCATGTAGGTGCACAACTGCACGTTATTGAAAAGCACAAGTCTCTAGAACGTGTAGCATTTGTATCCTATCTCATGTACACAATTGGCACATTCAAATAAGTTTTGCATATAGTTTTTTTTATTTATATGCTGTAGTGACAGACAGCAAATCTTTAAGCAAGAGGTTGCTTACACACTGTTCTGTATGCATGAAGAGGCCTTTTTTCAAACATCTAAGGTGAGTTTTTCCAAAGAATCATACAGCAGTTAAGTGCCCAAGTTCCAATGAAATGCAATAGAAACTGGATGCTAAACTTCATTAAATGTTTTTGAAAACCTAGTCCAAATTTTTCCTTTAAGTAGTAGGACAGTTATTAATGAACAAATAAGGTCTGTTTTCTTATAACAGGCCATACTATGGGCAAGTAATCTGAAAGCATCCCAACACAGTTCTGAAATTGTATTTCTTTTGTTTCCTTTTCTATTAGAGACCCTGATCTCATTTGAGACAGATACTTGGGCCATGTATGATCATATCATACTAGGATGAAACCATCAATACTTAAAATTAGATTTGAACCCATGTTTCTCACCCATTTTAGGTAAAAAGATTAGAGTAATAACTTCTAGTTTGTTGCTGAAAATACCTCTACTCAAAAGGTACAAGAATTGCACCATAAACCAGCAGAGAGGATACAGATCCACTGTACCACTTAATCTCTTTAGCAGACCTGCTATTCTAAAAGAATGGCTAAAATATTTCCATCAACCTATCAGTGTAATTACTTGTTAATTTACAAGTAAACAATGGTGTTTGCTTAAACTGAATTCCAAAAGTTACTATTATCTCTTTATAATAAATACTTGTCTTGATTAATGTCCAAAGGTTAGGGACTGGACCCACAGTTCAAACACTGAATGTGACTAAAGCAAGCCATTTTAATGTAACTGTCCCTAAAGAAATTAATATTTTTAATACATGGTAAGGTTTTTGTTGTTGTTATTCAATTTGACTTAATTATAGTTTGAGCTCTAATTACCCTTAGGAAAAAAAAATGAATACTTTGCCACAGATTTTCTTCCAAATTATATGCATCTCCTAAAAGTCTGTGCCAGTCTAATAAATACTAGTAATATTGGACTTTGCAAGTCCAAAAAAATTAATGGCAACAGAAATGTAGAAAGTAGATAAAATACAACTCTGCATCACTGCTCCTGAAATGGTTATTCAGAAAAGAAAAATCTACACTATTCATAGTAATACCAATGTTCTTATTTTCAAGATTGCTATTTCATTGAAGATAATAGGATAAAAGTATGGTCCTGAGCATAGAGTAACAAAGAGCTTGAAACTTTTAAGGGGCTTAAGAAATAAAAAAGAGGTGGTTAATCTGTCATTCCTCCTTATATCAATGACAAGGTATTAAAATTTTATTTTGCCACATCATTTATTTTTGCTAAAAATAACACAACCTATATCAGCATGCAATTTTCATAGCTCAAATTCAGTATGCATTGTAAAAAGCCTTGATTTCTGTAGAAAAGCTCATTGAGGGACAAATTATCCAACTCTCTTTGAAAATCCCAGTGTGGGTCACTGTAAAATCTTGCCATCTGAGTGTGCTTCTCAGTGTCATAACAATGTCCACCTCAGATCAACAATCATGTTTTCTTTGTTCTTGTGTAGCAGTCAAATAGCAGGCTTTTCCTTTTCATTTTGGCTGTCATGTTACAAACATCAATTTATGTAACATGATACATTGGCTGAAATTTGTGGAGGAAAAGCTTTGCAGTAAGATCATGTTTGCTCCCCATGTAAAATGATGAGCATCCACTTGGTCAAATAGCAGGAAAAGGCACCTTTTTCTGGTTTCATTTTAAAATCATATTAAATATTCGATGGACATTTTTTGTTTCCTAGAGAAATACTTACTGGTTGCTGCAGGTGAAGATGCCTCACCTTCAGTGGCTGTAGTGATGGGTTTAGCATCTGTCATGGTCAGGGTCACAGGTCGCACCGCACTGTGATGGGGAGAGGGTGCCAAAACTGGAGTAAAATGGCCAGGCACT